TTTTCCATATCTAAGGCGAGTTATTGGTGGGGAGGAGGTTCCTGTCACCCTCTGGTCAGCCACCCCAAATGTGTTAGCAAGTGTGAATTTAGCAACAGCTGCCTAATGAAGTTCTTATTTTGCTTCTTTGTTTTCCAGTTCATGCCAGATTAGTCAGAGCTGAGCAGATGTAGTCAAGGTCTCATTTGACTGGGCAGTCTTTGGCTTTCAGGTAGGCTTCAGCCCTTGACAGACATGTTAGCAGAGGAGATTGTACTGTGACCAGGCCATTAGCATATATGTTGAATATGATGGGAATATAATTTTCTACTGCAGTGTCTTCAAGTGAGTGGACAGACTGGTATTCTGGTTTTGAGATGGATCACTGCGTGTTTTTCTTTATCTGAAGTAAACACGAATTGTTGTATTTCTTCAAAGATATTATCCTAAGTAAGAAAAGTAACATAAGCCATAATTAAAATGAGGAGATGAAATCCACACAGATCGATTTCCCCACCACCACCACTGTCTAAGAGGGAAGACCTCTAGCAGCCACTAAACACAGCCTCCTGTGTCCAGAGAGGCAACTTGAGAAAAGTAAAACTGTTGTTGCGTTGGTCTGCGTATGGTAGTGACTGCTCCCTAAAAGCTTGGGACTGTTCTGTGAAGGAATTGATGCTCTGAAGACCACATTGAAAACAGCTTCAGGAGTTCAGTAGAAGTGGTGGTGTGTACCCCAGATCTGTTGCCCACACGCTGCAGGTGGTGCTCCTGCATCAGCAGCGCCCACGCAGAGTGAAGGTGCTGCCTGTGTGCCTTATTCCTGATTTGCTGTAAGCACACAGTCTTTCTGCCAGTAGTTCCCTCTTCAGGTAAGAGCGCTGAGGAAAATGATGGCTGTGAATACTTAGTGATTGCCCTGAAATGAGAGACGTTTTAATACATAGTCTTCACGCAGGCAAAAAGTAGGACGGAACTAAGTAGGGCTCTGCAGATGCTCATGGGATCGCCAAGAAACTATTTCTATTTTCCTTCTTTAATGTCTCTCACATTAAAGAAACAAAAGGGTAACTTCTGCCTTGCTCCTAAATTTGTAGTCCTTGACCCTAAAGAAGAAAATCAGTCTGGCAAGTCTCACATTACTGGTGCAATCCAGTTGACTAATTTGCAATCCCTTTTTCATCATTTGATTGGAATATTGTGTGGAACTCAGTCAAAAGCCAGATGGGAATCTATGTTTGCCATGCCAATGCAATTACTATTAGCAATTATATTTGTGGGATCGTAAAAATACCATGTTTGTCTGAAGAGATACATTTCCCATAAAATGATGCTGGCAGGAATTCATTAAAATGCCATCATTTATAGCTTTACTGCCTTTGTCCCATTGTAGCTTTTCAGTGACGTTGCCAGGAATCTTTATCGGGGTATCTAGCCCACATGCCTGGGTCATTCCTATGACTCCTTTGAAATAATAGCTCCAAGCTTCACTTTCTCCTAGAGTTTCCTATCACTTAAAATGCCAGATACGCTTGAATGTAAGTGGATTCCAAGTTTTTGCATTTTACAGATCTTGTTTATTCTTTAATAAAGAGTATGTGAATTTAAGTGTTCATAAAAGGTCCGAGCTTGTCAATCAGTTTGAATTCAGCAATGGAATTGAGGAGGTTTTTTGGATGTCTTTTGGAGGTTTTTCTGTGTATACGTCTCAATCTGATGTAAGAAAATACAGTATTTTTCTTTAATTAGCTACAGCATAGCCTAGCTGAACATGCATATTTTGCACAGCCTATAGTAAACTGTTTTTCTTGCTACATTCTTGTCTTTCTGCCCTTTGCAATGTGAGTAATACTGGCATAGTTCACCCAACATTCAAATTTAGTAGTCTGCATTTGGAGATGATGTTTGAGAGAAGGAAAATGTAAATAACAGAGCTGACTATGTGGGCTTAAACCTACTTAAGTCACAGAACACTTCAGTCGGTTTAATAGAGTTTGTAACAGAGATAGGAGAGGCAAAACCCACTTAACATGTTCAGCGAAATGCAGGTTTAAATTTCTTATTGAATCATTTTTTTTTTTTATCAGCAAAAAGGTTTTTGTCCCAAATCAAGATTTCATAAGTATGTCTTCACTCAAATTTCAAACGTTTAAAATCAGAGGGGTTAGCCATCAGTGATACAAAAGTGAGTCATTTTTTTTTTCCTGTTTTTTCCTTAAAATATGCTGAAATTTTGCAGAAAGCTGATAAAAGATCTGTGTGGAAAAAATGAGTCTTTTTTGACCGAGTCCAATTTAAGCTTTGGCTTGGTCTGTATTTAAAGTCACTGTGAATCTAGTTTAGATCTTCTTTCACTGCTATACAAATCTTCCTCGGTGGCCTACCGGTGTAACTTGACCATATTGAGGAGCTCCCCATTTCGAATGGAAAGAATTACGGATCACACCATGTACTGATGCTACTTTACCTACCTGATCTATGATTTTACAGTAGGCCACGTGGTTCAGGTTTCTGTCTGAAATGACTGGGAAACTGACAACCTAATACAGGCTCAACTGTGATTCTTCTGATGCAGATGGTTTCCCATCTATTGGTAACGGCACTGAGACAAACTTACTTTGCACTAGTCTGTAATTAACATGTTAGGTGTTAACTTGGGAGTTTCATTTTTTATTTCCTTTGCCGTACTTGCTGCATAGAATCAGTTGTCATGTGAAGTTCAGTCAATGAGAAACTCAGGAGGCAGATACTGGATTTCTAATGTGCAACAGGAGAAACAAGCACTTGACGTTTTATGTAGATTGATTTGGGGTTTTTAAGGCAGACATATTTTCCTGGGGTAAATAGTCAAATACATAGGTTAGAAGCTTGACCATTCTCCACTAAGAATAAGCTGTCTCTGCCATGTTCAGCTCTTGTAATAATTGATAATCTCCATCCCCAGTTTTCAGCGACATTTTGGAATGTGAATTGGGATACAGGTTATATTTTTTTCTCATTTTACTTTATAACCATATATAATTTCTGTCCTAGGTCCAGGGGTTTTTTTACGTATTTTTAGTAGGCTTTTACATTTTTCTGGTTTACTCCTTATTATCGTAGTGATACAATAAGATGCAAAAGCTGTGTATGAGGGGAAGGGAAGGAAAAGAAGGCAGGTTAACCTTACTGCTTTTAAACCAAACTATCTTCTGTAAAGGTATTCTAGGACAAAGCCTTGCACTGATAAATAAATACAAACAAGCATTCTCTACCATCCAACACCTACTCTATTTTACCTTTTATTGAAAAGACCCACCAAATGGTGTTTTACTCTGAGTAATTACCTTAGATGTTTAAAAGAAAGTCTTCAGCAAAAAAAATATTTTGCTTTTTTAAAAATACGCATTACTGTGACAGGCATTCACCCACCCATTGCTAAAAAACGCCTACGGTTTCCGAAAATAACGACAAAAGGTTTTCAGCATTGCAACTATTAAAGCACGGAGAGTGAAACCAGAAAATGTCATGTGGTTTACTCATTGCATCAGGTAATTATTAGCATTCAGCATTCATGAAGGCAGTTTAAAAAAAAAAGAAAAAGAAGACAACAAGCAGCAGACATTGGGTTTTACCGATTTTATTTCTAGACTTTAGTTTTTTTGCTGGAAACTTGTCTGTTACAGGTCTGTTGGTGAAAATGTGCATTTCAGACCAGTGATGCCAATAAGTACAATATAAAAATGTACAAATCTGAATTGCTTGCTTACTACAGATTGTTATAATAATGTGACAAATAAAGCATCTCTGTTGGCACGTGAACCCACTTAATCTGGATTTGGCCTTTTAGTACATACAATATTTTAAAGAAATTTGCAGTACGCACTGCCACTCAGTGTAACACATAATATAACCAACAAGCACTAACTCAATAATCATGTTTGGTTCAGAGACACAGAGATGCCACAAACAGAAGTGTTTTATGAGGTAAGCAGTAAGAAATGTTCCTGAAATTTGGACAGAATGTATCCAGTCCTCCTGGGTCCTGCGACTGCTAGTAGCATTGCAATGCTTTATTTATGCACTATGTAGATCTTAACTGCATTTGCCTCAAAATGAGTTCTAATTCTGTTTTGGTTTAGCAGCATACAGGCAACAGCTAGATTATTCTTCAGCATACAACTCTGTTAGCTGGCTTATTTATGAGATTTACAGGCTTTTTAAATTAGAAATATGCTATAATTAAAAAAAAAAAAAAACAAAACAAAAACAACAAACAAAAACCTAGTATATCATAACAGATTAAACACACAAAATACTTAGAGTTCCAGAAGATAACCTATCATACCAAATGATGTGTCCCAACTGACGGGAAGCCACATCAGGTGGCATACAAGAGTTATATTATAATGCACCTTTCGTATATCAATGTGGCTAATAACACAGCTTAAAACTACTATGATAATAAACCCCAGATCAGACAAAGAATCCAGCTTTATAAAATGCATAACAAAAAAACAAACATTACTTGATCTTCTGAAATGTCTGCTGTTTTTAAATTAATGCAACCTAGTTGCAAATCGCGAGACCCATTCAGAATAACGTTCGATGCATTTCCGTTTGCAGTAGAACTATGAGGCACTGTGTACGAACATTAAAACCTGGTCTAGACACGGTTAACTGAAGTATGAGGTATTGTGAAACAGGAACCTTTTTGGAATAGAGCAGTAATCACATTAAGTAAAAATTGATCACATAAAAAATCTACAAAAAAATGATGTCAATAATATAATTTTCTATGAGAAAATTAAAACCTATAACATGGCAGTATATGACATTGTATAACAAAAAAAAAAAACTGATCCACAAAATAGCAGCAAAACACAATGACAAAGATACAGAAAAGCAATGTTAATTTTTTTTTCAAACCATGCTGGGAATTTATCCCACACCATCACATTCTCCTCGAGCATCAACTTCAACAGCTATGTCCACGTCCCTTCAGCTACTCTAAAATAAAAATGGAGGATCCACTCCTTTTCTTTTCTCTTTTTTTTTTTTTTTCAAACCATGCTGGGAATTTATTAGCAGCTCATCTCACCTGCATTTCACCATCACATTCTCCTCGAGCATCAACTTCAACAGCTATGTCCACGTCCCTTCAGCTACTTTCTAAAATAATAATAAAAAGAAACAAAGCCAAGATGTGCAAATTTTCTATTTGTAGCTAAATAAAAAAATGGGGCATACACTGGAATAAGAACTTCTTTCAAGTACTCCAATTTTCATATCTATTAACTATGGCGTTTTCATGGTTAGACTGCTTTTGAAAAATGTATAGGAAGGGGCCAAATAGACTGCTTTGTTTGGGGTTTGTTCTTTGAAGCGTGTCCTTTTTTCTTTAATAAGCTGTGTTAAAACTGCAACATCAAGGGTAGAAAGATTTTTTTAAAAAGGGGCGATTGCATTATTTTACAAATCATACTGGCCTTACGAACATCCTCTGCAATAAATATTCTTTTTTATATATTTTAGTGTTTAAAAACCTTCAGCTGTAAAACATCTAGCGACAATCCTTAAACTATGTGTCCTATATGTGAACCTTTAAGGCCCCTAATTTATAACGATGAGTTGGCACCAAAGGATTTCTAAACTTCAACTTTTCTATAGAAAAGGATAGGAAGATATCCCGGCAATTTGTGAATGCAATTTCTCTCACTGGAACACAACCTTCGGAAAAAAAAAATCACCTCTCCTCTAACACCATAGTTAAATGCACTTGCTTTGCAATTCCAAGTTTGCGAACAAGCACTTATATATTTCCAAACCATTCCATTAAAAAAAAATTCCCACACAATAAAAGAATGTATTTCCTATATCTAATGGACTGAAAGTGCTTTGAATGGAATGGTTTTAGAATATTACAAACAAACAAAAAAAAAAAGACTAAACTGTGGATTGAACCTGACCATAATTAGGCTGAATATCTGTGGGGTCAGACCAGCATTTTACACAGGTAACTACAAAAATATGAAGATTACAAAAATATAATATATTATGTCACTATTTCGGTTTCTCTTTATAATAGAGTATCGTATGAGTAGTACATTGGCCTTTCCCAACAATGCTAAGCTGGAACCCTACAAATGCCTTATGCACAGGCAATCCACAGGCACAAAAAAAGATTAACATATAATAATGCTGCATACTAACATACGCTAACTTATGGGTTACGTTAACCATTTATAAGGTGAAGAGGATAAAAAAAACCTAAGGAAATAAAATAAACATTTACAGATGAATTATAAAGTGACTAAATGCATAAGCAAGCAAGATACAGAAAAGCCTAGAACTGCGTTAAAGCTATGCTTTTTAAAGAAAAAAAAAGAATATTTCATTTACTATCTAAAAAAAAAAAACCCTCTTCTACTTTAAAAATGGTTGGTTTGTTTGTTTGTTTTATATGTAAGAAATCTAATACCTCCCCTGGAGACATTTCGTGTGTTAATGCCTATTTTTACAACATACAGACAAGAACACTTTAATATAAAAACTAGTTGATTATTATTGTATAAAATCCTCTATTTTTGTAGCACAAACCCCTGGGGGTAATGCAAATACTATTTTTTTCTTTTTTTAAGACAGTTTTTGGGGTATTTTTTGTTTATTTGTTTGTTTGAAGTCACAGATGGAAGGGAGACAGAGCAAGAAAAAAATATAACAAGACTGGTTTTCCCTTCTGGTATAAAAATGTCCTGGAGAAAAGGGTTTCTGGGGGGGAGATCCTGATGCTGATTCCTTCTCAGATGCCCTTTCTTTGTCTGCTTTTCTCGCCAAGCAAACCCATTAGAAGAAGTCCTCTTAAATGTTCACATCTCGCACATCAGTAGGTGTGCAGGAAAGGTCTGCTTCATCCTCTACAGTCTTTGTTTCTGAAGATACGTTGTGCTGCTGTGCCTGACGTAGACTGGATTCAAGGAGGGATTCAATCTGTTCTTGGCAGGCTCGTAAACAATCCTAGAGAAGATTAAATGGAAGGAGAGAAAGACCCAGGGTTCTTTAGAAAAATAGCAAGATCACAGACCAAATACCATTTCTTGAAAAAGCAAGAGAAATATAATCAAGCTATTTGGGAGGGCAGCAGACTGAAAGGAGTGTGGGAAGAGCAAGAGAAACACTGAATAGTGAACGGATTGGACGAGCTACCCCATTTTCTGCAGGATGCTAGCCTGGATCCAGACTTCACCATCTAACTCTTACCATCTTCTATTTAATGGCCTAGGTGAGCGTCTCCACACATGGTCCTCTGGACAAACCATGACTGCCGTTTTGTTGTTAGTCTCAGCCCACAGGTCTACGACCGAGTATGATGAACGCTCCACTACAGTGACACATGTAGTGACTAACCCGGGCAGGACCCTGACACAGTAAGTTGTAGCTTGCACTACTACTTTTCTGCCTGTGCTGTTAACACGTCAGCAGGTCTGTAAAAGTCCATTCGTCCTATCTTTTACCTCGCTGTCCTTTATACCTTTTGAAACAGGCTGACTAGACAGCAGTGTGAATCAATCAAAATTAAACGAGTGGAGTTGCAAAGACGTGAAACTGGGCTGGAGTCAGAGTTGGTCCAAGTATTGCTGATGCTGTAATGATTTCTACTTTTACCACAGAAACACTTTGGCAGTACAGTCTACTAGAAGTGATGGTCATAAACAGTGATTTTCCCAGGCTGAGTTACGATAATACAAAGTTCTTAGATAGAAGTGCCATATATATATTTAGATGTACGTGCCCAAAGTTGCCTGCCAACTGTTGCTATGTCCAGCAGCAAGCAGCTCAAGTTATCTAACTGATTTCTAACTCGGAAGGCATCCGAACAGAAAAATGTACCGGACTGTATGACCCCAAAATGGAGAGATCTTTCAGAAGCACCACTAAACACCTTCGTAACCATGCATTACAAAGTGCTGCCAAGCTTTCAGTTTGCTACCGCATTCACCTTGAAATCTCAGTCAGGGTGACATCTCTTTCCCTTGCTTCTAAAGGATTTTCTCAGAGCTGAATGCGCGCACAATCCTACTGAGTGTTCAGGAGGGTGCAAGGGCCTCGCCGCTTGCACAGACTTAGCTGTGAATTAAAAGCATAAAGCACCAAGCAGGATCGTGTCTATGGTGGGGAAAGATAACTTCCCCCAGGCATTAAATCATACCATGAGTAGATATATCCAATTCTACTTCTCGATCCACAGCAATTAGAATTGGAGAAGGCCCGTTAGCTCAACCTGTCCTATGGTTGTGTTCTTCAGAGCCATGTACATCTATTGCGAGGACACAGAAACGGTGCCTTAAATAGGCAAAACAATCACACTACATTTTGCCAAAATTCCTCCAGCGTGCTGTTTACTCACATCTTTATAACAAACATCGTAAGCTTTTTCCCAACATACTTAACTCTGTGTTTAAGGACTTTGAAGTTTCCTTTCAGTATTGCCTTTTCTGATTTAACCTATGACATGTGTTAGCCCTTGCGGTGAACCCAGTCTTCCATGATAAATTGCCGTCAAAAGTGTTAGGATGTGCATGACTGAGAATGAATGTTGTTTTCCTGAGAGGGTGACCTGCCTGCTGTTTTCTTTATTTCCCAGTTTCAATTCTGCCTTCATTCAGAGGCTTCTTGTGTGATCTACCAGCTTTTCACTGATTCCACTACCACAAGAATCTCCTCTGCCACCAATAAGGGCACATGGCATTTGGGGTAAAATAAGATTAGAAACCCAAGCAAACAATTCTCTGCGAGTCCTTTCTGAGAGAGAGGGAGGTTAATCCTACCTCTAAGCAGATCAGACCATCAGTTACAGCTCACTGAAAACACATAACCTATGACCTTTTCTGGTTTAAACCCTAGTGTAATATTTCCTCTTGACAGAGACACACAGCACTTTAAATGACAAAAAGAAACGCCTCGTATCCTAAAGTCATCATGCCTGTGGCTCCTACATACCTCTGGCCTTCACAATAAGATCTCTATGAAGTCCTTTCACCCCTTCTCAAGATACGACGGATCAATCCCGACTGTAAGGCTTCTACTTGCATGTCCTGTACCACGTACCTCAGTCACACTTGGAATTAGATGTATTAAAAGAGTAGTACATGAATACAGGTTTAGGTATTTTCAGTTTTACAAATCCAGGCGCTTTTGAGGATAATTCTGTTTTAACAAGGTAGCATGTTCAGTGTTCCAAACTGAAAGCCAATTTATTTTCAGAACAAAACAAACCCTGCTTGCCTTTTTGGGGGGGGCGGGATTGTTTGGGGGGGCTTTTGTGTTGTGGTTTTTTTTTTTTTTAATCCTACCATTTGCATATAGCGTGTTTGAGCTCCGAAAACTAAAACCATTCAAAAGAATTTCTATAAATACCTATTCTTCTCCCTCTAGAGTCCAGTCATGAATAAGTACATAGGACTATGTAATTTAAAGGTAATTTTTGACCACAGAAATTTTTTTTCCTGTGAGATTCTCAGAGTACAGCATGTTGTATCTGTATTTTTTTAAAACATAATCTTTACAATTTATTATGAACAGACCGTGTCTGAAGCTACAGTTGAATGCATGAATATTTTTTTCATGTTTTAGGCATTTTTGTTCAAGTAATTTCTTATTCAGATGACTATTAGATGAGTAGTTTGTCTGCAGGAATGTACTAGAACTAGCAAAAGTAACTGCAAAATAGAACATTCACTGTGAACCTCACCAAAGCTTTTTTCATTCTCAGTACTTCTCAATACTGAAAAGCAAATACAAAACTTGTGCATTACTCTGATAACTTCTCCCAACAACTTTTCTGCTTCACTACCCAAATTTTCAATGCCCACAGTTTGTTCAAGGTCATAAACCCTTCCTGGATTAATTAAGCTCCTCAGTGCAAAAAAAAAAAAAAAAAGACTTGCTAGCTTAACTGATGTGGTCAAATACCTTTAACACACACAGTAGACACGATCAGACTCCAGGGTCAGATACTAAAGGAAACAAACAACAACAAAAAAGAAAGTGCCTGGAAATCCTTTGTTACTGCCTGACCCGTTCTGGATAACAAGCACATGTTTGAAGGTGCCTCTGAGTAGGGGCAGGCAGGAGATGAATTCCAATGTACTAACAGACAGCATGGAAACCCAATCTAATCTAGTTTAGCAAATTTCTGGCCTGGAAATGAATGTCAGGTAAAATTCAATCTGTTTAGATGATGGGGTCAAGAATAGAATGATGGAAGACAGCCCAAGACTTCTAATTGTGATTATCTGACTTCTAATTGCCCCTGATCAAAGGCAAAATGGGAAATTGGACTCCTACCAACGTAAACATGAACCATAAAGGAATTCCAATCAGGTGATATTCATTTTACTTTAGATTCAGCTTTCATTGAGACTAAAGGTAAAAAAGTGTAATTATATAACCTGAAATCCAACAGACCAGCTGCTCTAGCTAATAGATAATCAGGGAGAATGTTAGCCATGTTATAATGCATGCTCTTAATATTTCAAGACAATCCAATATAAAGTGTATTCATTTGTGCGGACTGACAAGGGGAACTGTCACTGTGGAGTAACAAACTTCATATACATGCTAGTGAAATAAGATAATAGGAATAGCATTTGATACCATGGATTACACAGGCACGTCTTACGGGAAATCCTCCATGCGGGGGAATCATGCTATGTATGAAACCAAGCAGTTTTCTCTGCTCAAAGCAACAGTAGCAAAAAATGCTGTTCCCTTATTCCATTACAAACACAAAAGTATACATATACATAGGTATAATTTTATGATGCTTATTCTCTGTAGCAACCTATACAAAAACCTGACTTCTAACTCTAGCTGCTCTAACACGTGAATTTACTTAGCAATGAAAGCTGGAGGGGAGTTGCTTCCTTTTAAAGCTCTTAAGTTTAAGTTCAGGTCATACAGATTGTGGCCTTGCAATGACTCTGGACAATAAAAAAGAAATAAGCAAGGATTCTCCTTGCTAAAACGACTTTCTTTTCTTTTAAAAGAGCTCTGTCATCAAGTAAGTCAAGTCACATAAGGACATGCTGTTGTTCTCCAAGACGTGAGAGAATCTACTTCAATGCTTTGTATCAGGAATGATTAAATAATGTTTTTGTTTGAATCAGATACCGTTAGAACATATAGCGAGCCTAGTATTTTTCCTCAGTACCTGCTTCAAATATCTTGCATTGGATAGTGGCCAACCATACGCTGAAATATCTACATTGTTCACAAACTGACTAAAAGCATTACACGTACATACCAAACTGAGCAGCATTTTATTTCAACATCTGAAGTTCTTATAGTATTTAACATTTCAGCACTGGATCCATATTACTTTAGCTGCAGTAATATAAATGGCAAAAATAACGTGCTCAATACTGAGGCATTGTTAAGGTGATCAAAATAGTAAGCTGAGATACCGTATTTGTCAGCAATTTTCACATAGTCTATCAAAAGTAAAATATTCTTTTGTGAATAATTAATTATGATGCATTCATCTTTCCAGAAATCACTCAATCCTGTCAACAAAGTCCAATTATACAAACCTAGTTTTGCAGTGTCTGGACTAGTATAGTTCTCTACGTATTTAAATTATTAACGTGTAAAATAATTTAACAGCATCTCAAAGATTCTGCCGCTAACCACAGAGTTGTCTTTATTTGACTCATTGTCCAGCGCTTGGAGACCTCACAAGAACCTTTTTAAAGCATCTATTTATTGGTCTTCCACATTGTTACAAAACAAAGCTCAACTCTGCCCCAACTTCACACACCATTATGACATGGATCATTGACTTTAGGTCTTCCTTGTAGGCTCCCTTCCTGGCCCATTCACTCATGAAAGGTTTATTGCTCACTAGTTTACTGATGTGCATCTCCTGGAAGCTGCAGGGCAAAATGGGAGTCCTGTGAGGACCATCTACCTTGTCAGAAAGTCGTGGGACAAGCATTTGTTCCAAAAAGGAATTCAATACCAGCTACTGTGCAGGTCTAGCACGTAATAAACCAAATTAGATCATTAGAACTCTTTTAAGAAGGGCTTTTTCACACCACTTGGCACAATAAAAGGCCTCGAGAATGGTCAAAGATAAGGTCAGAGATACCACGAGGTCTCAGTAACTATTTCCTCGTCTTATTCTCAAAGTTTTGTTTTACACAGACTCCTGGTTTAATTACCCACAACCAAACACAGCCTCTGCAATGTCCTAAATCGATGCAGGGTTTCCTTTGCTTTGTCGGATACGCCTCCCTTACAAACATTCGAGCTGGATGGGGCATTCCTATTAGTGAACTGCAGCAGCGTAATCACAGATTATTAATGGATATAATGACAGTTAAATAACTAGGACGGACACAAGAGAACACGTTAAAAAACCCCACTCTGAGGTTTGACTTTTATCGAGATTTACTGTCAGATTAGCTACTATGCAGTAAGCAGGCATTCATTCTTAAACTCTAAGGCAGGAGATCAACCGAGAGAGTCACTTACCGGATCACATTTGATAACTTGTGATAGGAAATGTGTGAGGCATTGATAGGAGAGGAAAGTGTTAGTGTTCCCCAGATGCAGGCCTTGCACAGCTGCTACCACACTGCCAGCTGCGATCATGGAAGGTGGGTTTGAAATAAATTTAATATCTGTATGAAGAAAGAAGAGAGAGAAAAAAAAAAAAAAAAAAAAAATAGACTGAAATGATTGCTTTAGGAGAAGCCTGCCCATACACATACACTCTTCTACCAGCATGGCTTCAGCTGCCAACTATTGCATCCAAAAAGGTAGGGAAAATTGTGAGCAGAAAGGTGCCTCCTGCTCTAAACTGTTACAGGTCCGAACCTGTGAACACTTACCCACATGAGCAACTGTACTTCAGTGAGTAGCCCTTCCTAGCACTGCGCCTGGGAGGCCATTCATCACTTCGAGGTATTTTTATCGTGAGCAGGGCCCCCATTCTTCAAATGTTAAAATACTTTGCTCATGTGAATAATGCCACTGGGGTCAATGGTACTATACATCTGAGGAAACCTGTTCGCATTCTTCAGTGTTTCGCATTATCAGATCCTAGGTGCGCTCTAATAAGGAGTCCTCGGGCCCTTTAAAGCAGAAACCTTTGCATTGACATTCAAAGGAATATAGCTTTAATGAACAACAACATCGACAAAAAGAAAGAAAGAGAAAGACTGCTTAACCCTGTCAGGAGGCAGATAATCCATATTTAAATTAAGGTTTCATCTTAAAAATGCTTTGTCTCAACCTAGTCTCTTGTCAGTGGCTGCCATCCATCCTGGCAACAGGGATTTAATGTAAATGTGGCATAACTAAGTGACGGGGGTCCCAAGAATTGGCGGACAATCAGTTACATTCTGATGTGACACCATGCTGACAAGAGGCTGGGCCCCCTTCCAGACTGCATTGCTGTAGGTCTCTCCACAAAGCCACTCCCATGATTCCTTAAGGGGCTATCTCTGCCATTTAGCATGTTTTTGGTTTGGTTTTTGTTTTGTTTTGTTGGGGGTTTTTTTAATACGAATAATCCACATTTTAATGCCAAGACTCTTTCTGCTGAACAGGAATGCGTTTGATCCGTGGCAGTGTACACCTTGAGGAGAATCAGAAACAAAGGAAGTAAGTGGCACAAGTAAACGTCTAATTTTGTGAGGAAGAGAGGGAAATGCCACATTATACACAAGAACCTGAGATACATTCCTTCAGCTTTTATCAGAATGCAACTTCCTCTGGGTTGAAAAAATATAAACCATCTGTCAAACCCTTGAATGAAATCAAAGGAATGGACAGCTTAGAGGGCTCAGTAGAACAGTTTAAGTATTAAATCATGCATCTCCTTTATTATGATAAAATAACTTTTGTGTAAATGTTTTACCAGTGAAACTAAAGACTTTGGGACTCTATGGAAGTCCTCTCTCTGGATCTATTCATATACCTCTGACACTCCATTGTAGCCCTGACCAATACCCACCTTCAAAGGGGCATTTCGCCCAGCGTTCTATGAACCTTCAAAATTAAACTGATACGGTGAATTGTGGCCAAACTTTTGTGATGCACTGCCAGCGAAAAGGCAAGCTTGATCTAAAGTCATCTCATTTCTGTTACTGTGCTTAAAATAAATATAGTTTATCCCCTTTCCCATTTTCCCCATTTGCGGGCAGATATAAATACACCCACCTTCTAACAAGCTTCTGTCATTCCCAAAAATCGAAGCAGTCCAGACTGCTTACTGACACTATACACATTCCAAAGCCAGTCCCTTCACTGAAATACTGATACGCAGTTGCAGGTAGACTTCAGAAATGAGGGATTTCAGTAGGCAAGCACGAATTCCACCAAGATTGGGTTCCTCAGAGGGGTACGGTGGCAGCGCGTTTGCGACGCTATTTACTGAGCTCCACAAACAGAACATGACCAAAATGCGTCAGTTTAATGAGTCTGTCCTGACAGGATCACGTTTGGGATTAATATTTGCGTTCTTCTTTTAAATGGAGCAGTAAACAAGAACATGAATTCACAGTCACACCCTCATTCTTTCCAAGGTGGAAAAGTGATAATGAAGTTTAAATGACCAGTTTGTGTCTGTCCCTATAACCACTCCAGACAAGCAGCATGGACTGCCTTTTTGTTGCAACTCAACAAGGAATTATTTGTGGCAGAGGCCACTAATTTCAGCATATTAATCAGGGGGCCCCTCTCGCCTGTAATTGGATGCCCCCAAGTGAAGAGTGTGGCATCATTGTCAGCCTCCATCGCCTCATCTTGCGCTATTGAGCGCTCAGGAACAAGGGGGCTTCGGTGAGATGAATTAGACCTGACACAGCCACAATGGGGTAGGGGGCCCCATCAATTGAAGCACACATCCCCAGTAGCCTATCTGAGACTTCATCCAAAAAGAATAAACAACTTCAGCGTTGTTAAAAAGAGAGAGAGAGAGAGAGAGAGGAGGGGGAGGAGAGAGAAGAATGCCAGCCACCCTGAAGGGAGGACAAAGCAGGCATATAGGCGCTGCAGCGCTTTAAAAAAAATTCCTAACAAGGCGAGTCACCCCTTTTCCTTTTTAAATGGAGCAGCAATTCCATCCGTCTGGAGAGCTGGGGGCTATGAATGAAAATCTTTTCATTGAGGCAAATCAAAACTGTGAACATAAATCACTTGCTGCAAGATGCAACAGGTTCCAACTGGTCACATACCTTGAGACTCCCAATTTTATAAAGGCCAGAGAATAGGAGAATTGTAACACGCTTGTTTCAAAGGGGGATCTTTCTTTCTCCATCGAAGAGGAGGAAAGCAACAACAATAATAGCAATAATAATAATATAAAAGGAGCCTGGTATGTTTTGATAACCAGAGGAACATAATGAAATGCTGAAGCTCCAATATTTGTTGCTATTCATTGTTACGCTTGTATAGAGCTGCAGTTCTCCCTCAACACTGGTCTTAACTTGGGCCAAAAGAGGCCTGCTTCCTTTTGAGCTCTCCCTGCCTTGCTCGGCCATGCCAAAGCCCCATTCATTAAGCTCAATTATGTGTTAACTTCAAACAACCCCTGGTAATTTTTTTTTTTTTTCTCCCGAATATTTGTTGCTATTCATTGTTACGCTTGTATAGAGCTGCAGTTCTCCCTCAACACTGGTCTTAACTTGGGCCAAAAGAGGCCTGCTTCCTTTTGAGCTCTCCCTGCCTTGCTCGGCCATGCCAAAGCCCCATTCATTAAGCTCAATTATGTGTTAACTTCAAACAACCCCCTGGTAATTTTTTTTTTTTTTTCTCCCGAACCTACCACAGCACAAAGACATCCTTTGGTGAAAATGGATTTTTCAAAACTAAACCAAATCAAACAAATCCACTTCTAGTAGCCAGACAACTGAAGAAGGAGCTCAGAAGGAATTCCCCTCAACTTCACCTTGCAGCGTAACCTTCTCTTTCTGGAGCAAACGCATACACACTCATCTACAAACACTTCCACAGCCTTCACCTTGTTAAGCCAACTGGCGGAGATTTTATTTTCTAAGCAAGCATTATTTTGCTGCCTCTTCTTAGGAGACCCTCCTTTACAGTAGAGGACGCAGGCTGTACTTCAAGCAAAGGATATACTGCACTTGCCCCTGAGGCCACTTAAGCGAGTGTCAGTGTTTCCAGTGGACTTTGGATTGGGCCCCACAGCATCCAGGCAGCACAACGCATTTGCAGTCCATCTAGGTTCATTTTGGCAAGGGGAAATACAACACAACCCAGCGACAGCAAAGCAAAGTCCAGATGCTACTTAAGCCACATGTGATCTTCACTAGCCAACAAAGAAGTCATGAGGAAAGCAAGAGGTAGAGAAAATCCTGACATCCAAAAATAACAATAAAAATACAGAGCCTAGTGGCAGCCTTCCTGAGCGCTCTTTCCCCAGGCAATATTCCCAACTTCAGTAGGGAGCTGAAGAGGGCCCCAATTCTGGTGAGCTCAGTACTGGTTTTTTTAAAAGCTATGTAAAACTCCCAGAACATGGTTCTCATTTACTGATCCATTCTCCAGCTGTGGTGTGTAGCAGTGTTAAATAAAGGCTCTGGATGTGCTTCCTAAAAGAAACATAACAACACCGACAGTAGATCAAAGTACTGGACTCTTAGCAAGTCTCCAACCTTTGAACTACTCTTGTTTTCATCCCTGTCATTGCCAACACAACAACCTAGGTTAAACATCCCCATATCCAAAGGGGAGGCCGGGTAGCTGTTCTCTTTAGCTAACAGCCGAGGAAGCTTCAAACTTAGCAAATCACGCATTTGGAGTCGCAGCAGCCTTATCTGGTAGAATCTGGCATGGAGAGTTACGTCTATTTTCCCAAAATGTTGCTGCAGGTAGTTTGAAGGCTGTTTGAAGGTTGTAGCGCTCCGAACACCGAGCATTATTCCAGGCAATCTAACTTACGAACTGCCCGTTATGCTGATGTTAGGCCCAAGATGAAGAGCAATGCCAGTGTTTACAAATTTCTCTTTTATGGCTTGGTCGTTCTATCTTTAGGCCTTGCAGTAGGGCCGATTCTATGAAATAAATTTTTTCTTCCGAGTGCCTGCAATCTTTCTTCAATCTTTTTATACCGAATCCATCTCTGGAAAATAAACTACACAACTTTAGTTTGTGCCATTGACCCCACACGTCCCACCGAGGTTTTCAAGTGTGGATACCTCTTCTCAAGTCCAAATGCAGGCTTGCTCTCTTTTTTTAGCACAACTGCTACTGAATATTAACGTTTACTAAAGCGCTGTATCTCCTTTACACTAAGTTTTTATCAGTGTCAACAGAGTGTCTGGCATTCCTCTTTACGTGCTACTGCGAAAGAACATTTGCTTTGGCTGCTTTTTCTTCCTTATTCTTTTGCCATTCCTGGATTGGTCTCGCCATACTAAAAGAAAACGCGCTGAACGCGTTCTGTTTAAACAGAGTATCTTCCCTCTAGAACTTATTTTGTCCCTGCTCCTCCAGCTCTGTCCTGTGGGAACAGTGAGATCTGGAGAACAGAAAGGCTCCTCTAAAACTTTTTTTCCTTCCCACTTGTTAGGGTTCAGCGGGTAAAGCCGGTACATGCACAAATGCATACACACACAGTCCACATGCAAACATGGAACTTCAAAGAACCAGTGCTCGCGCACGCACGGTGCCCTTGAAACCAAAGATCAGGCCTCTGCAAACCTGGCCTAGCGAACAGTCGGCGTCTTTGGAGGCCGGCCCTGCACATGGCTTCAGCGCAGCACGTGGTCAGAAGGGTGCAGATGGCAGCGGCTCGGTCCTGTGCCAGGAAAGCCTCTGTGCCGCGTGGCCCTCCTCCAATCCACCAGCCACCGAGGAGGGAGGAAGAGGCAACTTGAAGAGGGAAGTTTTGAAACCCCCACGCAGATCTATTCACAAGCAAAATCTCCCTCCGCCTTTAAAAACCGTCTTAAGAATGAATCCACACGGGGAGGGATTCCCCGTACGGGCAGTAAGCCTTTTGCAGCCCCCACGTAAAACCCGGTGTACGGAGGTGAAGAAATCGTGCCACGCTGAGCTGCGACTCCACGGCTAAGCTACAAAGAGGGGGGGTACTTCTCCCTCTCTGGCAACACCACATACTCCACTCAGAAGCAAAATGTCTTCTGAAAAAACTTACCTCCGCAAAGTAACCCACCTTCTGCAAACAACAAGGGGCAATAATCGAGGCTTAAACAACCTCCCCACAGCTCTGTGAGCTCGCTTTAGACCACAGCTACGGGAAGCTTTACAAGCCAGGGGGTAGATGCATGTAGGGGAGCAACACGCTTTGCTTAACGTGCAGGGCTCATACCTGTAGCGCACAGAGCCACAAAAGTCTGAGCATGTTTACGGATGATCTGCTTGGTGTCCTCTGCCAGAGGCATTTTAGTAAGGAAATGTTCAATGAAATCGTGGGGGGTCATTGCAGCCAGATTCCATTTCAGCTTATTCACCAGAAGCAGCTCCATTTGCTGCAAAGACAAGAGGGAGGGAAGGGGGAAGAAGAGAAGAGGAAGGAGAAGAGGGAAAATGTGGTTAGCTCCGCTCACACACGGCCGGACGAGCAGTATCCGCAGCTGGGCGAGTCAGCTCTCGGCCGAGCCCGCTTCCCCGGCCGGGGGGGTGGGGGG